TTCTTCTCCTTTGGCAGATACAACCCTCACATCAAGTGAAGTAACTCTTTCACCACATATGCAATCTGTTTTTGCAGTCCCTGGTGAGTGACTTTCTTAGAACTCCCAGTGTGGCAGGAATTAAAATACCCACAATAAACACTTCCTGCTTTCCCAGGAGAGAAGGAGAGGTAAGGAGAAATCCAGTCCCTCCCCCTCACTGGTTATAAAACTGAACACAGTGACGGTAGGTACTGGGGGCAGAAAGAATAGCATAAAAGGGCCTCAGATGCAGAACCTAAAGGAGCCTGTAGAGTTGATCTAGAACAGAGATTTTCAAAAGTTAGCCTGCATGTGAGCGTCCTGGAGAATGTGCTGAATACAGATTCACTGGCTCTGGGAAAAGCTTGAACACATCTATCAGGCTGCTCTCTGATGCCAATGGTGCTGGTCTTGGACTACCTAGAAGAGTAAAGAATTGAACAACCAGGAGTGGAGGGGTTGAAGGGAGGGTAGGGGAATAGAGAAAAAATAAGAACCAAGATATATCATGGAAAGGTCCAAATTCCCAGTGATGAATGTCATCGTATTGTATACCTAAAACATACCAATAAACTTAATGAATAAAAAAAAATTGAACAACCATCCTAATTTTGGAGGAAAATGAGGCCCAGATAAGCAAGACATTTGCCTAAGTTCACACAGCTAAGAAAGGCAAAGCCAGATCTCTCAACTCCCATTCAAGGTCCTTTCAGATTCCAGGCTTTGCTAGTGAATTAATTGGTGTGATTCCTCCAAGTCCCTGTGATATTGTCTATGAGGGGAAAAAGAAGGAAGAAACAAAGATATGAGCTCAACAGGACAAGTTTATTTAGGAACAAACCTGAGAGAGACCTCCCTGGCACTGAGACCATACTGGGTAACTCTCATACAGGCTATAAGGCCTTCCACAGGGTAATGGGTGAAAAGGGGGGGATTGTGAAAGAAAAAGCCAAAATGGGACTTTCAAGGGGGAGTGTGCACTAAAGAGGAGTTGTGGCTACTCACCAGGAACAAGGCTGGAGGGAGTTGTGATTGCATGTCAGGAGCAGGGCTGAATAATGACAGGGATTATGGACTCTAGCTGTACTCACCAGGCCTTATCAACCCATGAGTATACATCTTTAGCCAGTGTACGAGCATAGCAGGGAGAAGAGGTTCAACACAATCTCTATTCAGCCTAGAATGGTTGTGGTCAGATAAGGGAATGTGGGCGGGCATTACATCACTTCCTTAACTGGTTCCTGCTGATTAGGGGCTACAGTGGTCATGGTCAGGCATTTTTCCTGGACTGAAGAGGGAGAACCATATTGATGGGGTCTTTAGCAACTGCCTGTGAAATGGTCTCAATCCTGTTGGTGAAAAATCATTGAAACAGATTGATTAGGCATGCCGATAATAAAGAGGTGAGTAAACAAAAGGAGAACAGGCACTTCAAAAGGAAGAATCCAGGATAGGATAGCAGACATCCATGGATCCCATGAACTCTGCAAAAGGTACTGAGACAGTTGGTCTACTGCTTGGATCTCTGTTTCTATCTCCTCAAAGCTGTAGACACATTGTCATGATTATCTGGGATAAAAGTACATGTTGTGTGAAGCATGGTGCATGTGGCTCCTTGGCAGCTATAAGGAGATCTAAAGCCATGTGATTTTGTAAAACTACTTTTTCATTTGGTATGTTTCATCCACTACTGTTATAGCCTTGTGAGTGGCATTTAATGCGTAGGTATTGGGCCAAGGCTTCTACATCCAAGTCTACCTTAATGGCTGCTACTCCTGGAAGGGTCACAGCTAGGGAGTAAAACCACGAGGGAGTACATTTTACATGGTGCCACTAATGGTAGACTGCATCCCAATTTTAAGGTTATTCTGGGAGAGAGCCAAGAATATAAAGATGTCGCCATGTGCATCATCCTGTCCAATTAGCAGGCAGACATAGCCAGCTGTATCAGCAGCAAACCCATAAATGTCCTGAGAGAACTGTTCCATGATATTTTTCCCCATTCTACCACACACAGGGAACAGTAGCATATGTGATATTAAGACATAGGTACTCAGGTATCTATCCTACCATGCATTTAGGATCAGAATAGTTAGAAAGAATATGTGCTTTGGGACTTTATAGGTTTGAATTTTGGGTGACCTGGTCATATTATATGATTCCTCTGAGTTTCCATTTCCTCATCTCTAAAATGGTGGTAATACTCACCTGGATTAGTCATTGTAAGGACTGGAGAACTAAATGACCTGGCACATTGCAGTTGCTCAAATGAGAATTGGTATTGATCCACCGGCCAAAACACATTTAAATCACATTCATTCCTGAATGTGTAAATTCACATAAATACATGTACACTACTGTGAAATAGGCTTGTTTTCATAAACTTGTAGTCTACAGTGTAAAATATTTCAATGAAACCAAACTTAATGCTTTGCTTTCACTAAAAAAATTTTTCTTGGCAGCCAGTGACCCAGTTTCAATGAACGTGACACCATCACCTGGTAATGATCATATGTCTATTGCTAGATCAACACTTAATTTTATAATTTATTGTCATAAAATCTATTGTTAATTTTCCTACCTTGCTTTGTATACTGTAGCATAGAATTAAACTTCACAGTATGACCTTTCTCTTATTTAACTTGACTTTCTTCACTTAATTTTCAGCACCTATAAAAATGTTTCCTGTAAAATCTAATGGTTTCTTTATTATGCTTTTCAAAAATTCATTATATTTGTAATGCTTCTTTATGACTACTTAATCATTTTACTTCTGGAGAATAAATAGTATCTAACACCACTTGTTACATTTTGATGCTAAGAAAAGAAAGCTTAATAGAGAGTATTTCTACATTCAAACCAAAATAGAAACTTAAACTAAAGTATTGGTATCTGAAATTAGAGAAAATCTTTGGTTCTTGGATTTTGAACATAAGTGAGTTTGAAGGTCATTTTTAATGCTTTTATTTATTTATTTTTATTTACAGTTACAATTTCAATGGAAGAAATGATCACTTTATCTGGTAATTTTTGTTTGGCTCCTAATCATTAAAATGATCATATATCTATTAATATCATTAGGGTTATATTTCTTTTTTATTAAGTCCTTGCTGTTTAGAGAAGATAATTATGAGTTTGTAAATGTGTATGTACAGATACACACACTGTGGATTAGAAGCCTAAAATTCACCCTCCCTAGGTCTCACTCAGAAGATACTTACCCATATTCATAGCTCACATTCTTTCCCCCTTTTCTTCCTCTCTCTCTCCCTCTCTCTCTCCCTTCCACCTTCTCCTTGTCCCTCCCTTTCTTCTCTCCCTCCCTCTCTCTCTCCTTTTGGTGCTGGGGTTGGAACCCAGGGCCTCAGGTTTACATGCATTCTACCACTGAGCCATGCTCATGGTCCCTGTGTTCATAGTCAAACAAGCACAGTGATCTTGCTTCCAATATTGTAACAACCACTTAGACCCGGAGATAGCAGCCATCCCAGACCAAGCATACTGCAGTCAGAGAAATTAATGCTACTGTGGATTATTGATATTCACTAAGCCTCTTTTGTGTGCCAAACTGTGCAGAATACTGAAAGACAAAGACACCTCAGACCAATTAATATGAAGGCAAATCATTTTACACATGTCCGTTGGTGGGATACTGTCAGCAAATTACAGTCATGCACCCCATAATGATGTTTGGGTAACAGTGGGCCACATATGTGACAGTGGTCTCATAACATGGCCTGGTGACACTGCAGCCAATTTCCTTTGTGTAAATATATTCAAAGTCTATTTGTGATATACAACAACAGAATCACCTAATGACACACTTCTCAGAATCCATCCTCCTGGTTAATAACACACAATCGTACAGATTTTGCTTATTTTTAATTTTAAAATCAACTTTTCTGAAGTACCGTTTGTATACAATAATTGTACACATCTATGAGTTTTGTCTAATCTATGCCGCTATGTAACCACCACAGTCAAGACACAGAGCATATCCATCACCCAAACAAGTTCTCTCCTGCCCCTTTGCAATAAATCTGACCTTCCCTAGACAACCACTGATCTGTCTCTACAGTTTAGATTTGTTTTTTTTCTAGGCTCTCATATAAGTGGAATCAAATACAGTAATAAGTGCTCTTTTGTATCTGACCTTTTTTACTTGACAAATTGTTTCTGAGATTCATCTGTATGGTTCCATGTATTGGTAATACATTCCTTGTATTACTTAGTAATATTCCACTGTGTGCATAGACCACAATGTATCCATTCCTCTGAGGATGGGCACTTGGGTTGTTTCCAGCTCTTATTGTGGAGAAATCTGCTATGCACAGGTCTTCCTGTGGGCATGTTTTCATGGATCTTGAGCAGAATAGCCAGGTTACATAATATAGGTTTACTCATAGTTACTCCTCAAGAGTAAAAATAATTTCACAGAACATATTTTGTTTGATGAGTCAGGGCAGCACCTCAATTTAGAGCAACTGTATTTCAAGGATTTGGAGTGTATTGTTTGATTGTTACCTATATATCCTTCACCCACCCCCATCCCGAATTGGGGATTGAACTCAGGGTCTTCACACTAAGCTACATCCCAAGCTCCTTTTTTATTATTGAAACAAGGTCTTGCTAAGCTGCTTGGGTGAAATTTGAACTTGTGATCTTTCTGCCTTAGCCTCCCAGAGCACTGGGATTACAGGCATCTACCACCACCCTCAGCTATTGAGTTTTGTAATTTTGTTTAAAGATTCGGTACTTTGGTGTTAAGGAACCTGGGCTTGTTCATAATGGCCATTCCTTGAGGGTTTCAGGTAATTTGAGAGAAAGATACAGAGACAGAGAGAGATAGATAGAGACAGAGAGAGGCAGAGACACAGGACAGAGAATGAACACATGGTGGTGAGGGGGGCGGGTAGCAAAACCAGAAATGGAATTCATCCCAGTGTTAATTCTTCTTAATGACTTCTCTTGCCCTGTAGATGCGCCCCTGCGCCTGGCGGCCGGGCAGAACCGCTGTGAGGGCCGGCTGGAGGTGCGGTACCAGGGCGAGTGGGGCACGGTGTGCGACGACCACTGGAACATCAAGAATGCCCGCGTCGTGTGCCGCCTTCTGGGCTGCGGCCGCGCACTGGGCGCCCCGGGTCGTGGCCGCTTCGGCCCGGGCTCTGGGCCCATCCTGCTGGACGAGGTGCGCTGCATGGGCTCAGAGGATGCGCTGGAGAGCTGCAGCCACGCGGGCTGGGCGCGCCACGACTGCCAGCACCACGAGGACGCAGGCGTGATCTGCTCAGGTACCGCTCCCCACGGGTGCCCCAGGCCCTAGGCGTCCCTGAGGCGCCTCCCTAGGACTACCTGTCTTTGAGGAAGCCTTTCCCTCCCAGCATCCCTGAGGTCAAAATTCACCGCCCCGGGAGCTTGAGACTTGGTCAGAGGCCCAGCTCCTAAGATAACAAAGGCATAGTGGCTAATATACAGCTGGCCGTAAAGGTTTTGATCATCCGTCTTGGCTACTGATCAATAAGCTTTATCTCATTGCAGGTTTGTTCTGAAATGTAGCTAAAAGCTTATTAGATCAAAAGAATGGGTTACAATGTTCTGAAATGATTAAGAGCATAGAACTTGATGCTGTCAGTTGAACTACAATTTGTCCAGGTTCCTTTTCAAGCTCTGAGAAAGGCTTCAAGGGCACAAACCTGGGGGGACACTCTATCACCTTACCCTAACCCTCAGAAGTCCAAAGGATGCCCTGCAGTATTCCAGGTTTCCTTGTGTCCCCTGCATCCAAGATTGGCCTGTACCTTTCCTGGAATATATTTTATTGTCATCCAACTTCTTGGCGTTCTGACTTGCTCAGATTGGCTGCTTTCTGTACCCAGTAGTACTTCCTTGTATTTGTCCTGTTTGCCCAGAATTGACCTGTGTAAATCTCAAGGAGTTATGAAATTCTGAGCCTCGCACAAGTCTGAGCTCACCTTGCCTGTTCTAGTTTTAGTTTTTTACAGGTGATCAAAGGAATTGTTGCCCTTGCTTTTAGCTCTATGTAGATGTTACCCCTGTTTTGATTAGACTGGGGATCCAAATGGAAAAGCTGTCAGAGTCCCCTGAAGACAAACTTTAATCATCCAGAGCCAAGTGGTTTGAGTCTGTTGCTGGAGTCAACCTTCAAGGGCCTTGTTTGCATGGTGTCTCTTCTTAGTCCAAGCCAGTCCTGGTGCTGTCAGAGGACCCACTGGCAATGACAATCCATTTTCCTTCCTTTCAGAGCTTCCTTCCATGTAGTATAGTATTCAAAGCACCGAGACCTGGGGCCCAGGAGATCTAAAGGGGTGGAATGAATCTATCTAGCCATGTTTAGTAGGCTGAGCCTGTCCCTTGGGAAACTGTCCTATCTTGCTTCCTAGCTGGAGGAGCCCTAGGGGGCTCTAGACTCAATCTTTCTCAGCCCGAGGTCCCAAGGATACCACATGTGTGAAAAAGGACACCAGGCAGAGTTCATACATGTGACGGTGTTTATAAACTTTGAAGCTCTGCATTTATTATTTTTTTGCTCCAAAAAATCTTGGTTTTGAGGAAGTGTGTATTCTCAACACTACTTCACGTATGTCAGAATCCAGCTCCACCAAGAACCTCTGGGTCCTCCTTTCCTCTGCCTAACCTGATACTTTAGCTTTAACAGCTAAGTCAAGTGAGCCCATCACCTATGTTTTTCAGCTACTGCTAGTCCTAGGGTCCTCCTCCTGTGTTTCAGCACTATTGACATTTGTTTCTATCATCTCCCATTGCCAGGTCCCGCTGACTCTGTTGTGTCCAAGGACAATGGTAAAGTCATCCTCCCTCCCTGTGTCTGGGACTGCTGAAAAGGAGAGCTAAGATAGCAGCCAAATGGGGAAGAAAGAATCGGCTTTAAGGGGGGTTGGCCACTATGTTTCCACTGCGATCTCTCATCTCCATCTGTGTGCTAGGCTTTGGGAGGTTGGGGAAGCAGCACACTTGGCACCCAAGGTTCCTCCCTCTGTGTCTCCATTCATTCTCCAGCTTTCCTCCATGCACAGGCCCAGATGGATACGTGTTCAGGCTCAGGTGTCCTCAACATGGGAAGTGAGCTGTCCTTTAAACCTTACACAGGCTCTCCCTCACGGTCCACAGGACATGTGCTATGTGTAGGATTCCCCCATGGATGTGGTATGGCCTCACAGCCTTTTTGAAGATAGGGGATGTAAATAAAATCAATGAAAGTCAAGGGCAGAGGGTGAAGAGAGCTGAGCCAGCCCCAGCCCAGAGCAGTGTCCTTGGGACTTTCAGAAAATAAACGCACATCCAACTCTCGGCCTGCAAACACAGTGCATCAAGTTCTCCTTGTGATAGTTCTCCCCTCCTACAGCACAGCTTTCCTGCATGCCCCACTTCTTCCAAGCTGTCATTGACCGAGGCTACCTCCGAAGACTGGGCTATTCCTCCTGGGATGTCCACCTAAATGATAAACTGTGTCGCCCCCACATCACTGGGCACTACCTGATCTTCAACTTTCCCTATGGCCACTGTGGCACTGTCTGGCAGGTAAGAAACTGACAAGGAGGTGGCACCTTCTGTGAAGAAGGCCAAATAGAGGGGCTTGGGAAATTCAACCACCTGTTAAAAACCTGCATAGTCAGGTGTCGTGTCACATGCCTGTAATCTCAGCACTCTGGGGGGCTGAGGCAAATTCAAGCCCAGACTGAGCAATTTAGTGATCTAGAAAGACCCTGTCATTAAAAAAAATTTTTTTAAGGGCTTGGAATGTAGTTCAGTGTGAAGGCTTTGGGTTCAATCCCCAAGATCAGGGTGGAGGTGGGGGTCCTTAAGACATAGGAAAAGCACAAAGAATGACTTAATTTCGGAGTTTGGTGAGACCTGGAGCAGCTCACTAGTTTGTCTGAAACTTTCCTTCCAATGAGTTATTTAGGATACACACTAAACTTGGGATATGCTCAAGCATTGAGTGCTGATGGATGGATGGATGGATGGATAGTATTCACTTAGATCCAAACTATCTTTCACAACATGTTTCTTGATTGAGCATTAGGGCACACCTACCATGTGCAAGCTTTGGCACTAAGGATGGAAGAGGTTAGAGGGTCTGTCTGACTTAGTTTCTAACCAAGTCCCTACATTCTACAGTCTAGAGAGTACACATATAGAACACTTGTGAATAATGAGCCTGTTTAATATATATTCATTTTTCCTGACCACATGCTTATTTCACAAAGCAATGGCATTCAAATTAAGGGAACAAATTTACCAAAGATATAGGGCAAGTACACAAATTAATATCCTTTGTCTCAGTATATTGAACAATGTAAGATGTCCCAAAGCAAGATCCTCATACTATTCTTCTGTTCTTCTACATCCCTGTTTTGACACATTCCAAAAGCTCACTTTTGCTAGTCAGATTCATTCAAACAGTACATGATGCCAAATAATCCCTCTAACACCATACTTCATGTTTTGTCTGTTATTTGATATGTAACATCATGATCATTCTTATCCTTTTTACTCTGAAAATTGTACCCTTTACCTCAGAGGATTGTGCCCCCAGAGACATACTGGAATTCCCCAGTGTCTGCAGAATGGTGGCTCCCAGAAGCTTCTGGGCCTCAGGGAGGACCCTATAAATGTCCTTTCTGGCCTGGCTGGCCCATCTCCTGCAGAATGCCCTATGTGCTGGCCACAGTACTGGGGTCAGACAACATAGCAGAGTTAGTAACCATGTGGAGTGGTGGCCAGTTCCAGGCCACTCTAAGGAAAAACTGTCATGGGAAGGTCCTGAGTCTAACTTCAGAGTCAGTAAGTGAACAACCTCCTAGGTCCTGAGGACATAGATCCTTGCCCCGTGGCTCTTAAATTCAAGCAAAGGGAGACAGGTACTGGAAAAGCACACAAATGAGAGTCTTTTATAGTGAAGAAGATAAAGATAGCAAAACAGGAAGGTTTTGGAAGATAGAAGGGAAGCTAAAGGAACTGCAACTGAATGATGGGTGGAAGCAGCTAGGAAAAGGGCAGGAGGAGCATGCCAGGCAGGCCCCAGGCTAGTGCAGGATCCTGGGGCAGCCGAAAGCTAGAGGGTTTGAGAAAGAGACTGGGGCCCAACAAGTTCAGTGTCAGAATGGAAGTGAGTGGGTCAAATGGCCATGGAGTTTGGCTCTTATTCTAAACTGTGCATTCTCAAGCAGGGCAATATTATCCTCACAGAGGAAGAGACATATATGCTCATTCTTAGGGGCCAGAACAATAAAATCTTTCTTTATGGATAAAGCACAAGTATATATACAGTACACAAACAATTTGTTGAGTTAAAATTTCATACTGGGGACCAGCGAGAGGACAGGTGGAGTGGAAAGAAACACCTGCAAAGTTCCTTCTGATGGCCATGACGGGGAAAGGGTGGAAAAACACTGGTCTATCTGACAGATGGGGCAGTCCTTGGAGAGTTGTAAGGCTGAAAGTCACAGGATCTGAGTCACAAAAGCTGCAGCTTCCTTGACCAAGGGCCTCTGGGTAGACTGAGCCTTTGAGTGTCCACACAGGGCACAGGAAGGAGGCAAGGAGAGGTAGTGGCCCCTGCCCATCACTCCCTGGCTCCTCCTCAGCCCCTGAAAGTTATGTTGGCATTGCAGGAGCAAGACTGGGAGCCGAAGACAGCAGGGAAAGGCCTGCAGCTAAGCTGGAGCTAGAACTAGCTGGAGTCAATGGCAAGAAGCAGATGAGAGCCACAGTGGAGGCGGGGGGGTGGCCTGAGGGTGGCTAAAATAATGGGATGTATGGGGAAATGTAAAAGACAGAGCTTCAGGCAGCGTCACCGCGGGGCCTGCCACACAGCTCATAGCCACACAGCTTGGCTTTCACGGGAGGGAAGGAAGGACCCCCATCAATTGGGAGGGGGGTCCCTGCATGCTTCCATACATCATATCATCCTTTCATGAAATTAAGCACCACTGAGGTCTGGCAGGGGCTCCTGCTCTTCAGTTTGTGGACAAGCTAATGCCGGGCAGCAGTAGAAAGGAAAGGGCTCTTCTCTAGAAATCAAGTGCTTGTCAAGGAACCAGGAGTACTGGCCACCAGCTGTCCTCTCATCCTCACAGAAACACCATGGCTCCCTCAGCTACTCCAACTCCATCAGAGGCCACATAAGGGGCCATCCTGGCAGAGTCATTGTGCGGCACAAGGTGCCCCAGGTGAAGTTCACCTGCACAGTGGACAGCCCATCTGCAGTCGAAGTCGTTCATGAGGATGATGGCACCCAGACGGAGGATACCAGCTACGATGTGTCCATTATATTTCATCAGTCACCTGCATCCCAGCATAATGGGCACATGGCACTATATGGTGGCCAGAAGGAAGAGATATTCCTCCAGGCCACCCTCCATAGCCCCAATCCCAATGTAAGGCTCTTCGTGGATACCTGTGTGGCTTCTCCAAATCCCAGTGATTTTACCACCATCGCACACGATTTGATCAGGCAAGGGTAAGGAAAACAGAAGGTCCTCTCTGATTGGCTGTTATAAGCACATGGCATTCCTTTAGGGAACCTGTATCTTCTGAACCAGTTAGTTTTGAATTGGAATGTTGTGTAAGAGTTTTCACCCAGAGACCAAGTGAGGCCCCTCTTCAGCCCTCTCAGCCCAGTCAGGGATATAGTTAAGGGCTGCCTGGACAACCTCCCTTGATTCCCCTGAGAGTCCTGGACAGGGTCCTTGCTACCTAGGAGTCTGATGCCCTGCTCCACTTTTCATGCCCATTCCTCCTTTCCTTTCTAGTGTGAGAGCTTTAGTAGACTCCCCATTCATGGTGCCAGTCTTTAGAGCATTTGACATTGAAGGGCTGATGGCATTTCCCAAGCTGAGCTCTTAGTCATTATAGTAAGATCTCTTGTGGCTCCTTTAGTTAGTCAAATGATTTGCCAAGTTAGAACTGTGGCAAGCTATTTATCATCTTTGTGCTGTAGCAGAGGTAAAATATTTATGAGTGAGAAACCAGTTCAAAAACAACAAAACCTCACCACTTACTCCACGGCAGCTCATCACTTTACTCCACGGCAGCATGTTGAGAGCATGCTGACAACAGAGTAAAGCTCTTGGGAGGCACTGTTGTACCTGTTTCTAAGGCCAGGGGAGGAGCAAGACAGCACTTGCCACAGGTGGTGTGAGCCATGACATGAAAGGTGCACAGAAGTAGCACTAAACTGCCACATATAGTCCCCAAGTTCCCAACCCATGGCCCCCTTCCTCTGAATAGGCTGCACCTCCTAATAGCACATACAGCTAAAACTCCTCAATGGGTTCACTCAGTGATGAAGTTAATGCTCTTGAAACTCACTTACCTCTGGAACTCTCTTAATCCAGTCAAGTTGACAATCAAGATTAACTGCCACAGGGCTGGGGATTTAGCTCAGTGGTTCTGGCGCCTGCCTTGAAAGCACAAGGTCCCAAGTTTGATCCCCAGTACCAAAAAATAAAAGAAAAGATTAACTGCCACATATGGTTACTACTTACCTGTGCTCTGTAGCCAGGCAGCTATAGACAGTATATTTAGTTGTGTTTCAAAGTTTCTCTCTGGGCACTAAAGTTGAGATTTCACATTATTTTCACATGCCATGAAATAGTAATCTACTATATTTTTGTTAGTGATTTAAAAGCCTATAAAATGCATTCTGAGCTCATTGTCTGTACAAAAAGCCTGAGGCAGAGTAGATTTGACCAATGAACTTTGTTGGCCTGGCACTGATCTAGACTCCATTGTGACCTTATGATCAGGATGCTTTTAGGATCATAGAAACACACTGTGTTCACATTTTCTTAAACTCTTTTTGCTAACACTTTTTCTTAATGAGAACATCTTCTGTTCTCTCCTTTTTCGTTTTTTCATACATGTTTTTATTTATATATTAATTGGTACATTTTAGGTATACAATACATTTACATTTATCATTGGGTGTTTGTACCTGAACATGATGTATCTTAGTTCTTATTTTTTCCCCATTACCTGTGTGCCCTTCACCCACACCACCCTTCCCTATTTACATAGACTTTGTTTCCTTTTTTTTTTTTGAGGCCATACTCTTAAGTGAAATAAATAGGACACACGTGTGTAAATACCAAATAGTATCTCTAGTGTGAGAAACTGAAAGTGTAAATAAGGATGAAAATGATTAAAATGAATAATTGATAATTTGAAATAGGAAAAGGTCCAAAGGTGGAGGGGTGGCGGGAGGGGAAAGGGAAAGGGAAGAAAGGAAAGGAAAAATTATGTGAAAGGAAAAAAATGGAAACAACGTCTACGTTTTTTCATACATTTTTATTAGCATAAGTTTGAACTATGTAATGAATACATTCATTGTGGGCAGTTGGTAAATGTGCCTACCGCATCTTAGTCCCTTTACTTCCCCTTCCCCTCCCCTCCTTCCCTTTTCCATTCATTCCTTGATCCCCTCTCCTTCTGCAAAAGGTTTACTTCGCTGTTTCACATCGTCTGTCATCTATCTTTTATTTTGCTATTTAAATTTATACTTTATGCTCTTTCTTTCTCCACAACTTTGCTAGCATTTATTATTTTTTGAGTTTGTGATGATAGCCATTCACTGCATTATTTTTCCAATGCTGATTCCTTTTTTATTTTTTTTTCCACTTGTTCAACTACTCTCCCGGTTAGATATATGCTTTCCTTTGGGCTCCTTGGTGCTAGTGAGCTCCTTGCCTCTGTCTAGGATTCCCTTAAATATTTTCTAGAATGCTGATTTAGAAATCACATATTTCTTTAGGATTTCTTTGTCATGGAAAGCCCTTACTTTTCCATCAGTTTTCAAAGGTAATTTTGCAGGTTGACAGGATTTTTTTTTCCTTAGGGTTTAAAAACTACTCCTACCGCTCCTGGCCTTTAATATTTGTGCTGGCAAATCCACTGTAACTCTGATAGGCTTCCTTTGTAAGTAACTTGCTGCTTTTTTCTAATGATTTTTAGTATTCCCTCCAGTTGTTGAATTTCTGGAATTTTAATTATGCCATGTCATGGAGTAGTTCTTTTCTAGTCATGGCTATTTGGAATTCTTTATTCCTTTTATACTTGAATATGGAATGCTTTCCCTAGATTTGGAAAGTTTTCTGCTATGATTTCAATGAGTAAAATTTTTATACCTTTTGAGTTGTTTTCTAATTTTCCTTTATTCCTATAATTCTGATTTTTTTTTTTTTTTTTTTTAGTCATTTAGCAGCTGTTGGATCCAGGTTGGATGGTGTTTTGTGTTTTTAGGATATCACTGAGCTTATGATCTGCTACATCATCTTGTCTTCAGTTGCTGACACTCTGTCCTCATATTTGGTCAAATCTGCTAACCATCCTTTCTATTGAATTTTTCATATCTTGTATTTCTGCTTGTTTTCTTTTCACAATTTCCAATTCCTTCCCAAGCTGGTGATTCATATCTTATATTGTCTTATTTAACTCAGTTAGTTTATTGTTTATTTCTTTAAATTCATCAAACATTTTATTAATAAACTCATATATGTTTAATAAAATCCTCTTTAAGATCATTATACATTTTATATAATTGTGTAAGTGTTTCTTCTTTGAGCTCTTTAAACATTTTGACTGTTTATTCTGTTTTTTGAGTTCTCTACTTCAATATCTGTGAGATTAGCTTTGGAGGGCTAAGGCCAAGTGTTTATAGGCATCTTATTGCCTTGCTTTCTCTTTCTCATATTTCTACTTTTTTTTCCCTGTAGTTTCCAAAACATTAGGGTCGAAAAACTCTGCCCCTACTGTGTAGATCTCTTTAGTTAGAATCTGTCTCTCTCTAATTTGCCCTTGTATTTGACTATGTCTGCTGTTTATACCCCTCTTCAGCCTACTCAGTACAGTATTTGAGAGTCCAACCTTCTTCTTGGAGCTTGTGTTTGAGGGAGTAGGTCCCCCTCCCTGGGACCCAGGGTTAACATTCTAGACTGCTTTGGTATTTTCTCGGCATTGTCTTTAGTTTCTCTGTGACTTCTAATTTTTCTGTCAGCTCTTTCTTGATTCTCAGAGTCTTCTTCCTTTACTCTTTGTTAATTTGCTGTTCTCCAGGTGTCTGGATGCCAGGTCCTGCAGAGGTTGTGGTATGCTGCCAGCCTTTACCTCACCATTTTCCCTCTCCCCAATCCATGGGTTCCTTAAAACTATGTTGTTTCCTTTCCAAATATTTGGGAATTTTTCAACAATTATATTTCTGTTCTTGATTTCTAGTTTAATCCCATAGTTACCTGAGAATGCATTTTGTGTGGCTTCTATTCTTTTACATTTATTAAGGTATCTCTTATGGCCCAGAGTGAATTCTTTTTTTTTATGGTACCAGGGATCAAACTTGGGACCTTGCACTTGTGAGGCAGGTGCCAGAACCACTGAGCTAAATCCCTGGCCCAGTGAGTTCTATCTTGATGATGGTCCCATGTGCGCTTGAGAAGAATATGTATTCTGCTGTCATTGGATGGAGTGTTATATAAATTCTAATTAGATCCAGTGAATCAATAGTGTTCTTTGGGTCACCTGTATTATGACTGATTTTATGCTTGCTGGGCCTGTCGGTTACTGATTGTTTTTGTAACTTTTTTGTTGCAGGGACAAAATACCCAACACCCACAAGTTAGTGAAAGAAAGGTTTATTTGGGCTCACAGTTTGTAAAGGTTTCAGTTTATAGTCAGCTGGCTCCATGGTGGGGTGACAGGCAGAGGGACATGGCAGAGGAGAAGCAATTCATGGCATGGCAGAAGGTAGCAAGCAGTGAACCAAAGCAACCTGCCTTTCCTCTATCACTTTATAGTCCATCCAGGCTATAAGCCTATTGATTGGTGCCACCCACACCCAGGTTGAAGCTTCCATTATCCACACCCAGAACTTTGCTAAAACTCATTTAGTTATCACACATCCTTGATCCCAGAATCACACATCCTAGATCTAGCCACTTCCAAAAACCCCCACTTATGAATGCATGAGACTTTAGGGGGACATCTAGATACAAGCCATTTCCCCTGGCCTCCAAAAGACTCATATGTATCCCTTTATGCAAAAGGCATTTAGTCCATCTCGAAGAGTTGCCACAGTCCTAACAGTTTCAGCATTGCTGAAAAGTCCAAGTCTAAAGTCTCCTATGAGATTAAGGCAAACTCTTAGCTGCAAACCCCTGTACAAATGAAAACAAAGTTCAACATTTCCAACACACAGTGGCACAATATAAACATTGCCATTCTAAAAGGTAGAAATAGAAGGATACAAAGGAGTGGGGCCAAAGCCAGTCCAAAATCCAGCAGGGCAAACATTAAGTCCTGTAATTCCATATCCAGTATCTAGGACAATCTGGGGCAATCTGGGGCAAGATGTGAACTCCAAAGGGCTTGGTTGGCTCTGCCCCTATGGCACCATCAGTGGTTGCAGCTCTCATGACTTCTCTTGTGGGCAGGCTTCGGTCATCCCTTGCAGCTCTCCTCACACAATCAACATTCCTGGCTTCTCCAGCCTTCTGGGTTCTCCACTGCACCTTCAGCTTCACACTCACAGATTCACACACTGCCCTCTCAGGGGCACACTTCTTGGCCTCCCAGGCCTTCTTCTGAAGTCTAGGTGGAAGCCCTGACCCCATAGTTCTTGCAATCTGCATGCACCTAAAACCAGTACTGTGTGAATGACACCACCATCTGCCACCAGTTGGAGTGGTAGCTAGACATCCTTCTCTCTTGGTTGTAGGGGTCAAGTGCCTGAGTTGCTGAGCGCAATGCACCCATTCCTGAGGAACAAATTCCCTACGCCACTGCCATTCTGGGATCTGGTGTTTTGGGGCTCTCTTCTCAAAGCAAAGTCTTTCACCTTTACAATTTTTCATTTTGGTATCAAGGATCGAACTCGAGTCCTTGCACTTGTGCAGCAGGCGGCGAAACCACTGAGCTAAATCCCTAGCCCTCACCTTTACAATTTTGAGGCTGCAGAGGAAGGAGTCCTTCTGGTTCTTGTGATGTCCTCAGGCCATCTTTTCTATTGTTCTGTTCCTTCCCAGCAACCAAGTTCTCCTCTGCTTCATCTATTCAGTCCACAACTTGACTAGAACTTCCTTTCTAGCCAAAGTTAAAGCATTTAAAGTCACTCTTTTCAGCTCTTTGCTTTTGTTTTTCAATATAAATCTGGCTAAAAGTCCCCAACAGTAGCCGTGGCACTGCCTCAACATTAGACTGCCTTGAAATTTCTTCCGCCAGATTAATTAGTCTACCACCCTTAATCTCAGTCATAGGGAGCATCTCCGGACAAGAAAAAAAAAAAGCAGACACATTTTCTGCCAAAGCATAACACACGTGGTCTGGAGTCCAATAGCCAATGCAGTCCTTGCTTCTAACTGAAACCTCCTGAGCCTGGTCTTTACCAGTTACATTTCTGTCAGCATTCTGGTCTTCTGAGCTCTGACCAGAATCTCCCATCAAGTTCATTTTACAGCATTCTAGGGCTGCTTCTTCAGCTAGCACCTCCAAACCTTTCCAAATTCTTCCTCCAAGACAGTTCCAAAGACTCCTGAACCACATGGCCAGGTAGTATCACAGCAACAGCCCCAGTCCCAGTACCAAAATTTGTCTTACTTATTTTTCTCATTGCTGAGATAAATTACCCAACACCTACAAGTTAAAGGAGAAAAGATTCATATCAACTCATAGTTTTTAGAAGTTTCAGTCCATAGTCAGCTGACTCCAAGGCAGGGTAGCCCAGCAGATGGACATCACAGAAGAGAAACAATTCATGGTGTGGCAGGCAGAAGGCAGAAAGCAGCAAGCAGTGAAGCAAGTCTTTTTTCCCTTTTATCCCATCCAAGCTACAAGCCTTTTGGGTGGTGCCACCCATACCCAAGGTAGGCCTTCCCATTATCCACACCCAGAACTGTACTAATTCCAATCAGTGGAATAATTTAGTACCACAAACTCTTAATCTCAGTATTGCATGCCTTAGATCCAGCCAGCTCCAAAAAGCCCCACCTATGAGCACATGGTAGAAGTAGGAATAGGAGTGGTAGTAGCTTCTTTATAAAACAGTAGGAAGAGCTCCATTTGGAATTCAGAAATCTGGGTCCAAACCTGGTTACTTGGGTTAGAGTAAATTCACATCATACCTTAAATTAATCTTTTGGCTTGGATTTTTTTCCCCTGTCAGGTGTATCGTAGACAGTACCTATGTCAACCTCCATTCTTCACAGAAGAATGTGGCCCGGTTCAAGTTCAATGCCTTCAGTGTTCTTGATAGCTATGATGTGGTCTACCTGCAATGTAAGATCGCCATGTGCAGGGAAAGGGACTACTCCTCTCACTGCTCCCAGGGCTGTGTGGAGCATAAAAGGAGAAATGCAGATCCCTTGGAGCTCAAGGAAGAGCAGACTGAGCATTTCCAGATAGTGGGACCACTGGAGATCAACAAAGCAACCGGTCAGAGCAAGACCTGAGTGTGATTTCTCCAACTTGTATGTGAATATATTCGAAATTAGGAGCAGTCTACTTCTTGCAGTGAAGCAATGCTTGGCAAATCAGAAGTGATACTCACAGAGATAGGCAGGAAAAACAGAAATATTGCTTCTCTGAGGTTTGTTACTAAATAAATCTCTAACTACTGCACTGCTAAGGCAGTTACCCTTCTAGGCTAAAAATGCTGACTTTCTAATTCTTCCCTATCAAGATGTTGATCATTGTCTTAAAGTGTACAAAATGTTATTAAAAACAGGGTGTTTCCCTCTACCTCATGGCCATTTTAAAGACTTTAAAAGTTGATGACTTATTATTCAGATACTAATAGGTGGATCCCTGTTTGTCACTCTGGTGATGTAAGAATTTTCAGATCTTACTAAGAGTCTTATGAAAAATAAACTAAGTGTCTGTCAGGAAGCCACTGCTGATTTTTCTTTAAACTCTAGTAATGTGACAGTTGAATCATACATGTCATTGACTCATCAAAACAAGCTTTAATTGTTTTGTTTCAAGGAAAACAGATTAGAGCCCAGCTTTATGGGGTTGGGATTTTAAGTACCTGCTTTCTGACCTGCCAGCTGCTCATGTGGTAGTGTTCTCAGTCTGTTTCTCAGATCATGCATCATCCAGGAAACTTGAGAAGTACACAGACAAGGAAAGAGCCACATATTCTAATGTGCATCTGTTAAAGGAGGACAGCACCTGCTTTTTCTATTTCCTGTGACAGGAAGACACCAATGCTAGCCTTGCTACTCTCAGGATATCCTGTAAATACACAGACTTGAACATTGGTGGTTTTGTTGTTTGTTTTTGCTTGCTAGGAAATATTTATTAGCAATATTTAAAATATAAATTCCCATCTCCAAGAAATTATTCCAGTTTTTAACAATAAATACCAGCATAAGAGATGAAACTACAGTATTGTGAAGTCCCACAAAGCAATGGACACTGGTGCATCCTGGGACCAACCCCTCAGGTCCTAAAAGATAAAAATCTGACACATGATCCAAAGAGCTGTTGCCTTCAATAGGAACATCTCAGTTCTATTAACTACATGTCCTTCATCAATAATTGTTAGTAAAAATGTGATGCTGATATTTATTTTTGATGAAGTTCCCTCATAAACAGAAATTGATAAAATGTGGCCTGTGGCCAATATGGTGAACAAGACATCTTTAAATCAAGGTTAATCGTCAGCCACATTAAACAATGATTTTAGCGTCAGCTATCTATTTGCATGCAAATGCTTCAAAGGGATAAAAGGTTTTTTCCAACTAACCAGGGTGCTAGAGTTTCCACTTTCCAAGGTTCAGTGTCCCATTAACCGCGCCTATCCATAATGTGTTGAAGTAGATAGAGGCTTAACAGCTGCCAAAACCTAGCATGCAGGGCCGGGAATGTAGCTCAGTGATAGAGAGCTTGGCTAGCATGTGTTAGGCTCTGGGTTCAATCCCCAGTATTAAAAAAAAAAAAACCCACCTAAAAGAAAAAAAACAGCTAGTACTTTATGACTTTCAACAAATCTCTACTGTGAAAAGTATTGACAATGAAAGGACTAGTATTTAAATCAATCAATCAATCAATCAATCCCAATGAACTTCCAGATCACCTTCACTTGGTGTGGTTCAAGGGACCAGATCTAGGAAGTAGACATCTCTAAAAATACTCCAGGTGATTCTTAGGAACAATGAAGCTGTAAAGCCAGGCTAAATTTGTTCAATATTCCATCCTCCATGAATCAAAATGCACTTCTCTTCAAGGAAAATCCTGTTGAGGAACATGAAGTATGATACTAAAACAGCCCCAAGAAAAGCCTTTTCTCTCTACCAAAAGGACCAGAAAAGAGACTACCCAGCAACACAGGAAACTTTTAGACAAAAACTGTGCATGGGCTGGGGATTTAGCTCAGTGGTTTCGCCGCCTGCTGCAGAAGCTCAAGGACACGAGTTCGATCCCCGGTACAAAAAAAAAAAAACTGTGCTACTCCAGCCAAACACTAGGAAAACCCTGAGCCCCACCCCACCACCCCAGCCAGCAAAGGTGGAGTGCAGAGCCTAGCCCCTCATGCTCCCCAGTGCCCCTTACCTCCTTCCTCCCCTCACCAGAGTGAGGTCAAAAGGCAAGGTGGGGATGTGGATGCACACCACCTCCAGACAGTAGTGGGACCCTCAACTGCACAGTCCCTATCAGATGCAGACCAAGTGGGAAGACTGGACTTCTACTCCACTCCTATGGGGAAAGGATGAGAAACACTTTTCATCCTGTGCTGGTGAGATCTGGCCTAGGATAGGGATGAGGGAGTGGAGGCAGGTCTTTCCCTCCTGCTAGACAGTAGCAAGATGACCCCACCCCTTAGGGCAGCAGAGGCCAAGTGGATAGCCTGGGTTCCAACCCCTGGGCCCCCTGGTTTGCATGAGCCTGGTATTCTATTGCCTGTCCCTTTGCTTTTAGCCTTTCTGAAATACCTTAAGGAAGTCTCTTGACTACAGTGCAGAGGTAAATTTGCCTTGGAGACATTCTGAAATCCTGTTTAGTAAGCTGTTTATTAGCTGTTTTAGGAAATGAGTGTAGCGGCTCCTCAGGAGTGACACCCAGATGCCACTTCAGTCTGTCATCCATTCTCCAGGCTGCTAGGGAACATTGATGGCTGATGGTTCTCAGTGCCACTGCTCCCCCTGAATTTCCCTCAACTCGAGACATCTGTCTTGTCCAAGTTTACAGCCAGCCACAACTTGAGCCGAAAGAGGTATATAAGTCTCAGTGCTGGGCCCCAGAGACATCTGAAGGGCCAACCTGTCCCCCAGACTCCCCAGGGAACAGGCTGGGCCCTTTCACTGCAACTGCTTCCTAGGTTGTCAGCTCCCAATCCTGCCTCCCTCACCCTCAGAGGTGATCCTACGCACCTTCCCAGGAAACCTCTGGGTCACGGTATATTTTCCTAAATCCCCACCCATGACAGTCAGGACTACTGTGGCCTAAGGAAGCAAGTTCTAAAGTGGATTCTGGCACTCACACTGAGAATTCTTCAGTGATCAGGGATGGAACATGGATGCCCCAGCTGCTCAGATATTCTCTTTTGGTCCCCACCACACCCAGGAGGACAGGGGTGGTAGCTACTACCATCCCTATTTTACATTCTGGAGACCAAGTTGAAAGTGACCTGGACAGCACACCCAACCAGGTAAGTGGGAAGACCTACAGGCCAGGCCACCAACTTCAGACCCAGGGCTTCACCATATTTCTTCCTAAAGAAGAAAAATATTTTTTAAATGGTGGTGTACAAACTGACAATGAATTGGTATAGCTCGATATCTCCATTACAAAGGATTTTGGGGGATCACGGTAAAACAAGTTTCTACTCTAGTGAGTCACAATATTTAATAATTTTCCTAGAATTACACTTTCATGCCAGATTTGCCTTCTGCCTACCTGCCACGTTGGCAAGCTCTGTTGGCCAGCAGAGAATATCCAGTCATTTGCAGAGAGAGAGACAGCTCAAGTGCAGCCACCAAACTAGGCTTTTGTGCTGTTTTAAATATTTAATCTTATTTCCCCATTCTAATTAAATTTCAGGTGTTTTCATTTGTTAGGTTAAAAAAGAAGCTTGCAATAGTTCAATTTAAGTTATATGGATGAACATATAGGAGACTCACTGCATGGCTACTCGGAAAAGTATTTAGAAGATCTACATGGAGATATTAAACAATAGAGAGGCCAGGCATTTAGCTCAGTGGTTCTGCTGCCTGCCTCGCAAGCTCAAGGTCCCGAGATCGATACCCAGTACCAAAAAAAAAAAAAAATGGAGAAAATTTGGTTTGATTTGAAGCTGGAAAATCTCCAGACCCTCAAGGACTTGCTCTGGGAGAGTAGTTTCTGTCATGTCCATTGTATTCCCTCCAACAACCTGTGTTTGTGACATGTGTTTACAGATGTAAAGAGCATGTCTTTGTGCATTCAGGATTGTGGTTACCCATTTGGATTTATACTAGAACCTGAAACTGTGTGTGTTGCTAGGTGATGAGGAAGTATTGTATTATTCATCTAATATAATTAGCTTCAACATTTTAATATTTGTTCACTTACAGTAGAGGGGAACTTGTATATCACAACTGATCACTCCTTGTTAGTGTGATTAACCTTTGGCTTTGATATTTGATGATATATGAGCATCATGATGGCATGATGCTCAAGCCTGCCATCAGGTGAATGAGTAGGCATCATGCAAAGGGGTGGGTTTGGGGAGAGCTTTCACATAAACATCTGAGGCTGGAGGATGCCACAAACTCTGGGGTCTGAAAGCCTGAATGTCACATGGATACGAGGTAGATTAGAGAAGGAAGTGGGGGTCAGCCAGCAGGTCCAGTTAGAAGACTGTTCTGGAAGCCTAGGGAGCCTCAAGTCTGAGCAGGGATGTAAATGGGGTACGAGCCCTCTGGACTGAGAGGGACAGGGAAGAAAATAGGGAAGCCCAATGAGTGATGATGGGGATTTGGACCCACATTCATTTAATAAAAGGAGGCAGCCAAGAAACAAGGCCTGTGGAAATCTTGTCACACACTCAACTGCCTCCCCTGAGTGGCCAGCAATGGCAGGTTCTAGAGATGGGATACCACCCCATCTCAAAACCCTTACTGGACTCCCAGGGACAGTGTGAGCCCAGGGAGTATGGTGCCCTCTGAACAGCTTCATCGCCTACATTTGCACATGTGGCCCTCAGCCCTGCCTGAGAGATTCTAGAAACCACCCAACAGAAACACAGAGAAGGACCATCGGGAGCTGCCTTTCATGGCCAAGTTCACCTGCCAACATGTCCCCCTTTAGACTATAAAGGGTTTCTTTGCTGTCTCAGCTGAAACCTGAGGACTCACTGACTTGCCTCTCCTCAGCTATACCCTTCCTCAACAGTGACTCACTCCCCTCATTCTATCAAGTACCTAAAATATTAAAATGTATAAAGTAGATGGGTTTCAGGGTTCATCTTACATAGCAAGATGCAAGGGTCCTCAGTTCCAGAGCTCTCTGCCCAGTTTCCCAACTTCTCTGAAGCCTGGCCTTTATCTAGTCAGATTTGACTTCCTGCACAGCTTTCTGCCTTCAGCCCAAAAAAGAGGCAGCTTTCTTTCCAAGCCCTCCCTGGAGCTTCCAGGCACTGTGCAAAGCCTGGGAGAGGCAAAGGAGAAAAGGCCTCATCCCTGCCCTGAAGGAGAGAGGTGGTTATACCAAAACGCTGCAATGTGATCAGGGCTCCCAGAGTGGGTATTCAAGCTGCGGTAGAAATTCAGTTGGTGGGGCCCAGAGCTTTGTGCAAGAGAGAGGAGCCTTTGAGAACTGGGAGAGATGCTTTTGATCTGGTTCTTTTTTTTTTTCCCTGATAAAGCACTGGTTTATTTTGCTACTAGCACAAAAGTATAGGACTTAATATTCCAAAGAAATATACCCATGCTAGTGAGACTCACATGTAGACATTTTTTCTATTTTCATTATTTTAGATTGAAGTATCCTTATAAAAAAGCATACAATTTTTGTTTTTACTTCAAAGACTTTTGAAAATATAGATTTCTATGTACCAATAACTGAGCTGAGATACAGAACATTTCTATCATTCTAGAAAGTTCTCTCCTTCCCTCTTCTAGTTAATCTACCCTCCACAGAAGTAATCATTGTTCTGATTTCTAACCCCATGTTAATCATACTAATTTTAATTTTTTTAATTGTAAATTGTATCAGTGCTATTCTGGTCACAACACTGCCTTGAGTCTTTGGATGATATTAATGTATTTTCATCATTCAAATCTGGATCCCAGATTCTTGATTTTTTGACTTAAAGGTCAAGTCTACTTGTTAATCTACTGTCAAGTTCATAGCCTCTTTGATGAATAGAACCTGTATTAACCCAAATGGCCACACAAGATTAGATATTACAAGTAACCTAGTCTTTTGGAACACTATTGAACTGTGCTAAACTACGTAAAAATTAACTTGTAGAATCCAAACACATGTTTCCAGAGCAAGTCACAACCATTATTACAATTCTCAGTAGCCTTTGAAAATGATCAGCTAGGGGAAGGGGAGGGCATTGTTTTCAATTTATATACGAGAAAAAGAGTGAACAAGTAGGTGGCTTATACAGAATCCCCTTACCATTAACCATTGGTGTCAGGACTAGATTTCTCTTATGTTGATTCCATTGTCCTAGGCTGCATGTACACAAAGAAAGAACTTGCATTCCAAAATTTAATTTCCTTGTTTCTTCTCTGAAAATTCATAGGTTACCCATTCCTTCCATCCTCCAGCATAATGTTTAGCACTATTAAAGTCCAGATATCTTGCTGTGTCCAGAGCTGCCTTGCTTCTTACTCCTGCTAAACAGGAAAACACTAGACTATCTGATTTGGATCACTTTACTTCATGGTACTTCTCTTTGAAGTCTATTGAGTCCATCTGTAGAGCTTCACTTACTTCATGCAATGGTATATTGATAGATCCAGTAATCTTTCCATATTCAAGAATTTCCCATTTCTCTCTAACATCAATTAGCATAATATTTTTGGAACTCAACAGGTTTTTAAGTTCTTTGTAAGTGACATCCTTATAAACAGTACAAAAATTATGGCAGGTTCCCTTTATTGACTTCAAATCGCAGAGTGCAGTTTCCAGAGACCCCAGCAAGGCCCTGCGCGCACACTAGGGCAGCAGCCCACGCATCCTGATCTGGTTCTTGAATGACACTGAGAAAGTCAAGTTTTCTCCTGGATGGAACGTGAATTATTGCTCTTTAAACTCAAAGAGGCAGAACATCTATTCATGTACTTATTGGCCACTTGTATTTTTTTAAAAGTAATATCTATTCAGATCCTTTGCCCATTTTTGTGGGGGAGAGGTACCAGGAATTGAACTCAGGACCTTGCGCTTGCCAGGCAGGCTCAGCACCACTGAGCTAAATCCCAGCCTGCTTTGCGCATTTTTAATTGAGTTGTTTTTTGATGGTTGAATTGTAAGAGCTCTTTAAATATTCTAGATACCCTTATTAGATATTTGCTTTGCTAATGTTTTCTCCCATTTTGTGGGTCTGTATATCCTTTTATGTGGTGTCATATACACATACTACCTATTATGATTTCATAGGTAATTTAAAATTTTATGAAAATAAAATTTTCTGATAACCACAATAAGAAATTGAAAAACAGATGAAATTGATTTTAACAATATATTTTGCTTAACCTAATACAGACAATATATCATTTCAATATGTAACCAATGAGACTTAATGTCTTTTTTGTATAACTTTTTAAAAAGGCATATAAATGCAGCCCATCTCCACTGTATATGGTACAGTGTGTATAACACACATTGCTGTGCCCACTATTAAACTTCCATTTAACACAACAAAACCCAAGATACAATTATTCTTTGCACAAGGTTACTCTTGTTCTCAAATTACCCCTCCTGACTGAATAAATTTGTAAGGTTAACTTATAACAATAATCCATATGTGAAACAAGAAAAAGAAATTCCTTAATACACTAACACAAAAAGCAGAAAGGGAAAAAATGTGCCTAGCTGCCACAGAATTCCCAGTCTATGACTGGCCACCAGGCCACAGTTGATATCCATAATTTCCTTCTTCCTTCACTTGTTCTGGGCTCCCTCTCCCCTCCATGAATATCTCAGCTGGAGGTAATCCTTTACCTGCTGGGGTGACCAAACCTTCACTGTGACTGGTCTTAATCCTCCGTGGCCCCATCTTTGGTTGATTGTTATAGTTTTCCATTCACTTCTAGTATTGATGTGGAAATTCTAAGAAGTGCCCCAAAGCTGCAGACTTATTTCTCTACCCCTATTTGTACCAGCAACCCAATTTCCACTTGGCTTAAGGAGTCCAGCATAGCCAAGTAAAGTCTCAAGTCAACAGAATCATTGTTGTGTCTTGGATCAAATTTCTCCCATCAGAACGAAGGCCTTCAAGCTAGTGGAGTTCAAAGCTTACAGAAAATACTTTTCCAAGTGAGGTAGTTAATGTAATAGTGAGACGAGCCCTTCCCTTCCACCCCTTGATTTCCATGGGAGAAACAGTCACAGACTATAGTCACATTACTTCACTCTGTAAGACAGAACCCTGACTTCCCAGGCCAACTGGTCCCATAACCAAGTGCTCAGTGGGCTGTCGTGTGGTGCCATTAGGCAAGATGCTTCTAGGTTCCAGGGCATGAGGCAACACTAGAGAATTCACACAAGCACAAATCTATTGCTGAACCTGCATTGCTCTGAAATGAGCTCCCTGGTCAGAAGCAATGCTATACGGAGTAGCACAATGACTGAGGTATTCCATGAACACACAGATGGTTGGGCTGGCAGAAGTATTTCAGGAACAGATGATGAAACCATATCCAGAATTAATGTTCCTTCCAACGAGGACAAAATTAATGTTCCCTCCATAGAATGGGTCCAATGTGATCAATCTGCCACCAGATGGCTCACTGCCTGGTCCTCCACCTCCAGGAATGGTTAAATTCTAAAATGTCTGGAGGACATTTCTTTCCTTCTTCATTTGCTCAATAGTTTTCTAAGGGCCTCCTCTGGGCCCAGTCACGGATAAATAAATCCTCAGCAAGGGATGGGCTCTTAGGCTCAGGATTTTTTGTCTACAGAGATGGCTGCAACTACCATTTCTCAAGCAATGACACAGTGAATAGAGCACTGGAGAAGGAGTTTGGGAGGCATGACTTGTGCTCTAGGTCTAACACTAGCAAGCATGTGACAGGAATGGGGCCCTTGGCTTCTCTAGGCTCAGTTTCCTCACTTTTTGTTTCTCTGATACTGGGGATTGAACTCAGGGAGCACTGGGCTTCTCACCCCTTTTTGAGACAGGGTCTCACTAAGTTGCCCAGGCTGGGCTCAAACTTGTGACCCTCTTGCCTCAGCCTCCAGAGCAGCTGGGGTTACAGGCATGTGCCATCAAGCCTGGCTTCAGTTTCCTCATTCTTGAAATAAAATAGAAACTCAACGACATCCAGGACTAGCAGTGGACCAAGGGAAGGGTAGGGGTGGTGGGACTCATTCCCCTTGGCATAGGCAACAAGGGAGAGTTTTTTAAATAATGAGCTAATGGTTTCTCCGTCTCTCCCTCTCTGTGTCTCTGTCTCTGTCTCTCTGTGTCTCTGCCTCTCTCTCTCTCTCTCTCTCTCTCTCTCTCTCTCTCTCTCTCTCTCTCGATAGGGATTGAACCCAGAGGGTTCACAAGTGCTAGCAAACTACTCCACTTTATATCCCCAGCTCTTTTTTGAGGCAGAGTCTTGCTAAATTCCCCAGCCTGGGCTCAAACTTGAGACCTTCCTGCCTCAGCCTCTTGAGTAGATGGAATTACAGGCATGTACCACCATGCTCAACAGTTGGTCTGCTTTTATCATCATCATACGCCTCAATTCTAAACAGCGTAAGAAAATATTTTTCACCAAAAACTATATATACATATGGTTTGCCTACAGTCTAAGTAATTGCTACAGATACTACCAAATTTCTATAATATATATGCTAAGCAATTTAGTGAGATGCTGTCTCAAAATAAAAGGGTGGGGGATGTAGCTCAGTGCTCCCTGGGTTCAATTCCCAGTACTGGAAAAAAAAATGAATGAGGAAACCAAGCCTAGAGAGGCAAAGTGCCCTATTCCTGGCACATGGCTCCTAGTCTTAGACTCTAGCTAGAAGTCGGGTCTCCCAGACTCCCCTCCAGGGCTCTTTTCACTGTGTCCTTGTCTGAGAAGTGATATATATATTCTTATTATTTATCTTTTAACAAACAGAATTCTGGCCATGGATTTAGCTCAGTGGTGCCACCGCATGCCTCACAACTGCAAGGACCCAAGTTCAAGCCCCGGTACCCCCCAAAAAACCAAAAACAAAAAAAACAGTGTCTTCTACATGGGCCTTAACTTGTATGAGTCTGTTATCCGGTTAGCCCCAGACACACAAAAATCCCTCCATGTTTGTTTCTAGAGTAAATTTTTTTTCTTTTTTTTTTTTT